ATTTCCTGTTAACTGAATACTGCAACAAGATGAAAACAAATGCAAAGAAATGTTGCCCTAGTTTGTCAAATCAGTTGAGGATATCCATTACCAGAGGCAATCTGAAACAGGATTCAGTAATGTTCCTAATCTAAAATAAATTAAATCCTTGAATTCAGTATGACAGTACACTGCTGTGAATTAGCCAAGTAAATCAACTGAAGGAGTAGTGTCTTCATGAAATAAAATGTTTGTGGAGAAGATTTAGGGTTGGAGAAAAGCCCAAAGCATTATGAAGAAATTATAATTTTTTAGTGGGTATTAGTCCTTGCGTGAAGTTCAGAGGTGGGTTTGTGGTAAAGGGGATGGAAGCAGCTGAAGAGAGAGAGAGAGAGGTGATAAACATATGTGAAACTCGTTTGTACACTCTCTTAAGCAAGGTGATGGGTTTCTCGTGTGTCAGACACCCATCTGATCAAACCAAAAAAAAAGGAAGATTTGTTTCTATGCGTTGTGTGTTTGGGAGTAAATGAAAAAACACCTGCAAAACTTAAATTGCTGACTAACGGTTTGAAATGCTGACCAAAATACTGATGATCACAATATGAAGGACCAATTGATTCATTGGGGTTGCAAAACTGTAATGGTGTCAATCTTCCAGCAGGTGACGATCTTTCGCTGATGTTATGACAAAACTTGGAATATTTCTGATTATACTCCACACAAAACAATATTTTGCGGTTATATATTTGGGTCTATTTGCCATTTGGTAGTATGGAATGACCTCAATGGAGACGCATTTCAACCTGATGCCCGGGACTGAGTCTTTTTTTTAGACAGATCTAAGCAGGATGACCATGCGTTATATCTGAAAATGTCCCACTCGCTACCAATAACCATTATCTATTTCATCAATTTTATTTCGATTGCGTTGCATTGGGTAACACCATCTCACGTTTTACTGATTGACCACAATTATAATTCTCTCTAAATTCGTTTTGAAATGAGAGCTGAAAAATTTTCACTTTGCAAAATATGTGGTGATGTTGGTGGCACAGAAACATATTTGCATACGTATTAGGAAAATTAGCTTCCTCTTCCTATAGTATTCCAAATGTCATTCATAAGTTTATATGCATAACAATTTTTTTTGTATTAACTCTCCAAAGAATGGAATGCAGACCTATGGCCCACAAAACCTATATGTAATATCGCAGGCTTAATATTTTTAATGAGTAACCCAATCTGCGGGACAATAACCCACTCTCAGACAGCCGACATAGACACACGTTCGCAAACACAACTGCACATATTTGGTCATGTCTAGCCAGTTCTGCAAACTACAAACATACATGCGGAGAAACGACAGGAATTGTGTTGTTTGACGGAATGACTGCTTAGATTTGGATGATTATAACACAACTAATCATTGTGAAATTCATTGACTTTGATGGCTGAGCACAAATTTAAATTCACCAATGATCATACCATTGCTTTTGAGCGTGCATGGCACGAAATTGTAAGAAAGAACTGTATAAATTGTAAGAATCCTCCACTATGTGGGATTAAGGATTAATGCAAGGATTATTATTATTATTATTATTATTATTACATGTGGCCATCAATATGTTTTTTTTTAACCACATTGAATGAATTTATCAATAATTATTTAATATCTTTATTTTTGTTGTGTTTTTACTACAATATTCACAATATCCCTGAAGCTGAATTTGCATCAGGTTTTCTTTTACCAATCAAAATTTAACAAACAAGTCAATAAAGGTTTTGAGTGGGCAAATTGCATCCTGGTGTTTCTTTGTGATCACAAGGTACAGTATGTAAGTTACAGGTAATTGGATTTGAGGTACAGATCAGCCATGATCTTATAGAATGGTGGAACAGGCTCGAGGGGCTGAATGGCCTCCTCCTGTTTCTACAATACACAAAAAGATAATTCCAATTCTTCCAAACATGCATTTATTGAAATTCTTAAAAGTAGTCTATTAAACATATGATGGTTACACTATAGTGGTAGTACACGTTCCCTTTTGTGCTCCCGTCACAATAAAGTGCACATAGTTTTTCCAACATGCTTGTGCGCAACAAAATGACAATTTAGGGACACATTCTGTGGGCAGAACGTGTAAACATGCCATGTGGTTGGTTTGCCACTGAGCCGCAGAGACGAAGAAAATCCACGATTCACTCTTTCATTTGTGCGGAGGTAGGTAGCTGGTCAATTCAGCACTCCGAGACGATACCCCACGTCAACGGCAATAAATAAATGCGAGTTGTTGTTTTCTTAGCTGGAGTGAAAGCAGGGCCAAGTGCAATTGATCTCATCGTGGTGGAGTCCTGTAGCTCAGTGGTTAGAGCACTCGCTTTGCAAGTGAGAGACTTGAGTTCAATTCCAGGCAGAGGGCGAAACCTTGGGCAAGTTTCCTTACTCCACACAGAGCCTAATAATAATCCCTCCAAAACCAAAAACAATAATAAATTGGTCATTTTCAATCCACGACTGTTTGTGGGACATTGCTGTGGGCAATTGGCTGCCGCGTTCGCCCACAAATATACAGTCAATTCACTTTACAGTGTGTTCTGTGAAGCGCTTTGGGACGTCCTCCCGACGTGAAAAGCGCTATGTCAAATGCAAGGATTATTATTATTATTATTATCATTCTGGGCAAGTAATTGAAATTGGACACTGATCGCTGTGAGAGTGTTCCTGTGGATGATAAGAATGGACAAGTTTGACTCAGCTTTTTTGCCCCCCCCACCGATCAAACCGCCTGCTGATGATGTTCATTATCATACACTTGCTCATGAAGAGTATCTATGAAAGTCCCAGATATTGTTATTGCCTGCAGAACAGCATCATTTGCCTCCTTCACGACAGGTGTTAGGGGAGAAAATTAAAAGTGTGTAATTTTTAAGAAAGAGAGCAAATTTGCACTGCAATTTAGAATGAAATCTGATGTAAAGCAGACAAGCTGCTTTTGCACGCTGTTTTTAGTTTGTTTATCGATTTTCCTGTCAACACGTGTTACATTCAACACTGAGGAGATATATTAAAAAAAATGATTCACTTGCTCCTGATCTTCCTTTGCGGTATGACATTGACAATAAGGTAAAGAAGAAATACATCTATTATAAGACTGTGGTAAGCATTACAAGTCGATCTTTCAACAATAATTCAGTTTTAGCTGCCACATAGGACTTTTTCATTAAAATAAACAACGCATTTACGACGCGACTCAGGGATTCCTGCAGATACTGTTCAGCAGACGGACCGAACTGAAATAAGGAAATCTGCTTGCGCAGAAAAGATCATTTTCATCTGCTTTTTGAAGACTTAATTGCTGGCTGCCCGAACTCAATAATTAAATAAAAGTGGTTGACTGGCTTAAAACTTAAAAGTGATTTGAAGCTTAAAGAGAAACCAGTCCTGTAAAGTATCATATACCTTCGGCGTTATCCCATTACCAGCTCAGCCCTGGATACAAGAAAAAAAGATCGATGGTTTCGAGCGGCGTACTGAATAACCCATTGAAAAAATATAAGTTTTGAGGGCAGATTTATGTCGGAAACCTAATTTCCTTTGTTCATTGGCGGAATCGTTCTTTATCATCACAAAAGCGAACGTCACAAAACAATCAATCCGCCTCCGAGTCCAGTCACTGCGCCTTTCTTTTTTTAAAAAAAAACTCGTTGAAGTGCTTTCTGAGGCCCTTTCGACACAGATTAAGGCGCCGTTTTCAACAGTGACGACAAACGACAAAATGACGTTTGTTCAGCGCCTTTCACGTCGGGAGGACGTCCCGAGGGCCCGGACGGTCAGGGTCTCAGACCCCAAACAACTTGCATTTATACACACACACACACACATATATATATCGCAGCCCTCGCGCAGGGTAGCGCCCCAGAGCGCTTGACAGTGACCAATCACCCAACCCCTCCCTCCCTCCTTGCTTGACCCCTCCCTCCTTCCTTGACCCCTCCCTCCCTCCTTGCTTGACCCCTCCCTCCCTCCTTCCTTGACCCCTCCCTCCCTCCATGCTTGACACCGCCCTCCCTCCTTGACCCCTCCCTCTCTCCGTGCTTGACCCCGCCCTCCCTCATTGACCCCTCCCTCTCTCCGTGCTTGACCCCGCCCTCCCTCTTGACCCCTCCCTCCCTCCTTGACCCCTCCCTCTCTCCGTGCTTGCCCCGCCTCCCTCCTTGACCCCTCCCTCCTCCTGCTTGACCCCGCCCTCCCTCCTTGACCCCTCCCTCTCTCCGTGCTTGACCCCGCCCTCCCTCCTTGACCAACCCTGCCTTCATCCCTCCCTTCCTCCCTGCTTGACCCCTCCCTCCCTGCTTGACCCCTCCCTCCTTAACCCCGCCCTCCTTGACCCCTCCCCATCATCCCTCCCTCTCTGTCCCACCCCCTCCCACTTCAATCCCCACCTCCGGCAAGGCACGGCCCCGCCCCTTTCCCCGCCCCGCCCCTTCCGCTTCTGCGCACGCGCGCGACGGGCTCCCAGCCGCACCTGCGTCTCCACGGAGACGCCATGGAAACAGTCCCCGCCCCCCAGCGACGGGAGCCGGCGGCGAAGGTGAGGTGAGCGCGCACGCGCGAGAGCGCCCGGCTGCGTGGGTGGGTGCGTGCGTGCGTGCGTACGGGCGGGGGGTGGGGGTGTGGGGAGGGAGTGAATCAATGAAGAGACATTCACACCCACACACACACCCACACACTGACAGGTGAAACCGAGGCTGGGTTTCCGGGGGAGGAGGGTGACGTCAGCGCGTGACAAAGTGCGGAGTCCGCAGGTCGTCAAGGAGGCGCGCGAGCGGCGGAGACAGCAACCGCCACCAACCGCCACCTCACCCGCCCCGGGGCTCAGCCACCTGCCCGCCAGCCCGGGGGTCACCGCACTCCACACACTCACTCACTCACTCGCTCGCTGGTGTGTGGGAGTCCCGTCTCCCTCCATTTCTTTTTTTTTGGTGGTGGTGGTGGGGGAGCGCGCGGGCGGGCGGGCGGGTTGGGAGAGAAGGCAGGAGTCGCGGCGGTCGCTCGGTCGGTCGGTCGGTCTGCCTCTGCCTCGCCGGCTTTTGAAGGCTGAAGTTGCCCCGAAAATGATCAAAACTCACCACCGGACGCCGTCGAAAGGCCTGGAGACGGTGGAGGTGAAGAGCAAGGTGCGTGAGGACGGGTGGGTGGGTAAGGGTAAAGGTGGGCGGGTTGTCCGACCGTCAGTGAGGGCCCAGGGGTGGTGGGGGTGATGGGGTGGGTGGGGGGGTAAAGGGGAGCCCAGGGCCTGGCGGCTCTTTACCGGGTGGTCTTCGGTTCCCCCCCTTTTCCCCCTCCCCTCCCCTCCGGTTCGGGGCCTGTGGTGGCGGTGGCGGTGGTGGTGGTGGGTTTTTTTTAAAAAAAATTACAGCGACTTTCAGTGCCTTCACTTCGACTACACTTCGATCTGTCTGTGTCTGTCTGTCTGTCTTTAAACAGCAGGTTGTTCTCGTGTGTGTGTGTGTGTGTGTGTCTCTCCCCCCCACCCCCCCAATCGCGGATCATTTGTGTGTGTGTGTGTGTGTGTGTCTGTGTTTTGTTGAGAAACTGACAGATGTCACGTAGTTTGGGAGAGAAACTTTGATGGATCCCTTCCTTCTGTGCTCTTCCCCCCCACCCCCACCCCCACCCCTACCCTCCTCCTATTAATTGGTAGCTTGTTGCTTGGTCGTACAGGGTGACCCCCCCCCCCCCACCCTCCAAAAAAAAAAGTCGTGGCATCTACCCTGTTATCTAAAAACCAAACAAAAATACCGTCATTTCTCGCCCAAGGCTCGTTTAGACATTGTGATTAATGGTATCAGGACTGTACTGTATTATATACTGCGGTCATCCTGTATTATCCTGGATACAACGTTGCTCAATGTTTCTGTGAAGGGTAAATATTTTTNCCAAAACTCTTCCGTGTACAATGTAGTACACGTAAATGCCGATCCCCAAACAATAACTAACACTGTATAATACGTTTTGTTGTTGTTGCGCCGGAGGTGGGTTGGGAAAGCTTTTTACTTGAAAGACGGACACTATTTTCCTTGTGTATATGTTCATCCAAAACATTTTAGCTGCAAATTGTAACTTATTAGTCAGATGTTTTGCAAACAAAACCATGTTTATTTAAGCAGCACGTGTATTACATTGAAACCATTTAGTATCATTTCATGAAAAGGTTGAACTTTATAAAGTAATCAAATGAGCATTGAAAAAAACAGTCTAGTAGTCTGTTGTTGGAAAGAGATGATTGCTTACAATAATAATAATAATAATCCTTGCATTTGATATAGCGCTTTTCACGTCGGGAGGACGTCCCAAAGCGCTTCACAGAATATACTGTAAAGTGAATTGACTGTATATTTGTGGGCGAACGCGGCAGCCAATTGCGCACAGCAGTGTCCCACAAACAGTCGTAGATTGAAAATGACCAATTTATTATTGTTTTTTGGGTTTTTTGAAGGGATTATTATTAGGATCTGTGTGGAGTAAGGAAACTTGCCCAAGGTTTCGCCCTCTGCCTGGAATTGAACAAATATCCTTTAGGATTTCTTGGCTTTACAAGTACCTACAGTATTACTGTATTGTCAAACTAGCAATCGACAAATGCTGGTATGATATCCTGAAAGGATTTGTTTCAAAATTTGTATGCAGTGGTGTATTGAACAGGTCCAGTGTCTTAAATCTTTATAGAATAAGGAAAGGAATGCTGTCTGAGGTGGACAGAATCTGTTGAGAGAGGTGTTACCAGTATGCAGTATAATATCGTACTCTACCACTAAGCTTAATTACTGAATGTAACTTGAAGACACCCATTCAGGTGATAAATTCGATAATTAAGAATAATTTGGGACTATATCTTGACCCTTTTGAGGACTACACTGGGAGAAAGAAAAATGAAGATTGTCATACCAACCATGCCAAGACAAACTTTGTATTGTATTTTGAACTTACTAGTGCTGGTAGAATAATCTTTTGAAATTGTTTTACTTGAACGATATTTGCACTTCTTTAACTTTGTAATTTTTCAAAAGCTCAGTCTAATTAAATTTCCTCTGTAAAAAGGTGAATTGGAAGAAGTAGATGCTTTTCCAGATCAGGCAGCAGTTACAAGATGTTACCTATATTGCAATTACAGTAATTCATTACTCCTGCACTTGCCGGCTGCATTGAATTGCAGGAAATGACACGCTGACCAGTTAACGTGTGCGCACTTACTGCACTCACTGCATTGAATCTCAGGAAATGCTATCTTGATCTGTCGTCGACACAAGCGCTTAAGAACTTAATTTCCCGCCATTCAATACCCTTTCAGCAGGTCAAGACGCATTAAATCACGGGAAACATAGTTTCAACCAGTCACCTTATGCCCACTTAGCGGCTGCATTGAATTATGCATGCGTCGTGAAGATTATTAGTTAAATCGTATTTTACACGATTTATACAGTTTGCCTACAACTCAGACTTTGCGCAAATCATATTAAATGTTAAGATCCCGACTGATATGACTACAACATTCTTTGCCCTGAAACAGACTAATCTGATAGTGATAGCATGAATCAAATAATGTTCACAGATTGAATGATTGTACTTGTGCTTTTCCCACTTCATTATTGGGTTTCTTGTGTGTTTTTGTGTGGGATTTACTTTGATGTGAAATGATTAATTATGCCATTTTATGTATTGAATGTAAAAATATTCAAAATAGGTACAGAGAGCAGTGAAGTGTTAGTTGAAGAATCCTACGCAAGCCAATATCCTTTAGTCTTGAATGAAGACAATTTTTTATGTGATTTTTTATTCATGACCTCGCCACCACCAATACTTCATTCTTGAGTATGAAATATTGGTGGCGGTGAGGTCTTTCCAGACAAGTTTGGAAAACAAAATCTAAAATTGTAATGATGAATATCTTGCATACTTTGTGGCATTAATATAGTCTTGCTCATCATTACACCTTGCAAGCATCCTAGTGACAGAGCTGTCCTTATAAGGGATGGGTTTGCTTTTTGAACACTATCGTTGGCTCATAAGGCAGGGTGAGGAGGATTCCATACACCTTGATTTGAGCAACATGGCTAACCAAACCTAGAAGTGAACTGTAATTCTGCTTTTCAAAAAATAAATGGACATATTTTCTCTTGGGTCAACTTAAGGGAGGATGTTATAACAAGTGCTTTCTGACTGGAGTTATTAGTTGTGATCGTCCAATGTAGATTGAAATGAAATTATAATTGAAGTGGAGACTAAGATGTTAATCTAAAGCCTGTCTGTGTTATTGACTGTGTTTAATGTAAACCATTTCCAGTGAAACTTATACTATGATTGGTTTCTTCATGTCAGCTTTTGGTTGACAGTCGTCAAAATCCTTGCCCACCAACTGATTCATACATTTTTATGTGAAATTTTATTCCAGACACAATGTAGATAAAATAATTATAGAATATGCATATTCATCATTTACGTGAGTGGTGCCCTTGATAGTCATGGCAGATTGTTTAAGTAGATAATTGTTGACTTTTTTTAAATACCTTCTTCTGGAAATTACTACTCAGACTGTTTTCTCCAAAGATATTTGTCAAATTAAATTCTATTTTAACACGTTTGACTTCAGGGAAAACTAATTTAAACCGGACTAAAGACTATTACAAGAAGTAAATAAATTGTTTACTGCATTCAAATTTGCATTAATTAAAAAATCCCAGAATTGTAATCGTTATTCTAAAATATACAAAGTGCACATTTTAAAATTGAGTAGAACAGCATGATTGTGTTCCAAAAAGCACAGATTCATATGCACACTTCTACCAGCTGTCAGAATTCTGTCAGAATTCTACATGTTCATCTCTAAAATGTTGCTAATTGAACACTTCTTGTTTTTCCACTAATAGTTTGGGGCTGAATTTCGACGTTTCGCTCTGGATCGATCAAAACCTGGAAAATTTGAAGAGTTTTATGGATTACTGCAACATGTCCACAGGATTCCAAATGCGGATGTTTTAGTGGGCTACGCTGATATTCATGGGGACTTGTTGCCAATAAATAATGATGACAACTATCTTAAGGCCATCAAGACAGCCAACCCACTACTCAGGGTTTTTATACAAAGAAAAGGTAAGACTGTTCGTCTTTAATGATACTGTTTTGATATGACTGGTTAGTTTCCAGTGATGGGGAGTACAAACTATAGTCATGTTCAAAGCAGGCAAGAGAGCAAACATATTTTAATCCTTAAAACAAATGGAGTCATAGTGCAAGAATGTTAATGACCAGCCTTTCCCAAAATGTAGTAATCGTACAGAGAGCAAGGTTAGTGAGACTACTACGCCCTTAGTCAAAGACCTCTGGAATGAGGAGTTTTGTTATTGCTAAACATTTTTAATGCTGTCTTGTAATTGGTGATAAATTAATGAAAAGCTAATCCATTGACTAGCACACTAAAGATTATATTTAGAAATGTAACTAAATAGCATTTCCCATTTTTATGCTGGGTGTATATCTTGAATACAAAATAAACAAATGTATGTTAGGTTCTTAGACTGATTGGAACAATTGAAGTATGAATGGCATGAAGGTTTGTTTGCAACAGCTGCACTGAAAATTTGAAACCTGATACATGATAGTCACAGTGGATTTTGAAACTGTATCCATTATTTAAAAAACTTCTAATAAAAACAGAATGCTACAAATCCACTGCAGGTCAAGCGGCATGTGGAGGAGAAACCTTGGGAATGTTTTGGACATGACATTTATCAGAATTCTCAGTAATTTGGGAAAACACCTACATTGGGTTAGTGTATAGGGAGGAAATGCGTAAGTTTTTTTTGTTGAAGAATGATTAAATGAAAATCCTGTTTGATGGACCATGAGCCAATTGTAGAATTCTGTTTATGGTGTAGGGGAAAATAACTAGCTGAGATTTTAAAGAATGTATCATACGCATTGTTGGGCCACTCAGTATTTTTAAGTATGTCAATTGTAATGGTTATTCATAAATGTCCTTCTTTAACTACGTTTTAAGAACAATATTTATTAATAAGTATGATTGGGAGTTGTAGGATGTTCCGGCACGTTTAGCAAATTTCAGATTGCTTTACCTAAGTATTACAGCTATCTGGGATTGGCAGTTGAGACTTGTTTTAAGGAATTAATCAATCTCGCTTTCCTACTCTTTCACTATTTACCTTAATTATTATACCTATGTTATCCTTGTTTTAAGATTACATAAGCAGAATATTCTTCATTTTAGAGCAGATAGGCAGTGGGTTTCCATGTGTCTGCTAGTCGTGCTTTGTAACTAGCTGGTGTGTGAATGGGCAAGGTTGATTTAACCTACTTCACCAGCTAATTAAAACTAGCTTTTCTTGGCTTAGTTATGTTGTTGGCATCCAGGTAATCTATGTCCTTTGCACTGTTCTAGAAAATCCTGATCCATACTTGACTACTTACGTAGGTATTACAATAATGAGGTTGTAATTATTCAGCAAAAATATACAATCTGTGAGTGACCTACCCAAGTTGGTTTCGTTTGAGTCACTTTCTGTTAAGATAACTTGGGAGGATTGATTCAGCAAACTATTGTATCACACATGCAGGATATGATCTGTTGGACTTTTAAGTATATAATGTGACATTAAAGGTATCTTATAAGAATATCAAATGTAACAGGAATTCTCTTTGTAGATAATTACTATTGTGACACAGCTGTTGCACATATGCTAAGATTGAGCACCAGCTTTATGTATTAAGCAGCTTCAGGAACCATATGACCTGTCGTACTTAAGCCACTTTGTCAACAATAAGTTCTACAAAGAGGATTACAGGAGCACTGAATGATGCACACTGTTTGTTTCTGTTGTTGTTATTTCCTAATTATCAGAACAAAACTATTTTCATGACCAATGGTTGAAGGTTAGAAAAAGCTCAAATATATTCTCTACAGTTGCAAAATCAATGTTGTATTGAGACTACTGGGAGTACATGTATTATGATGTGCTTGCATTAAAGTAAGAGCATCTACTGTTATGTACAGTAAATTACTTGTATATCATGCATTTATTTTGGTCAGCAGGGTGTCTTAGCACATGCAGAGTTTCCAATCAGACAGAGTTCCATATATGTATGCCGCCTATACATGGAAATTTCCCTGGTGGAACGCACCATGCTTATCTAATTCCAGATGATATTAGATGTTGGTTGTCAACAACCAAGCCTTGGAGACCCATGAGTACGTTCAGCTAAATTCTCATGGCTTGCCATTGAGAGCACCCTACCCTTTAGGGCTTTGACTTGCAGGTTTAGCAGGAGCTGAGTGGGAAGAATCCTTGCTCCTAGTGACTGGTCTGCCCTACCTACCTTGCTGATCAGGTTAGCGGGTCTGTCATCAGCAGTGCCCTGGAGTACTGCGGAAGTGCCTGATTCAGGATTGACTTGATTTAACATTCCATTGCCAAGCACCTCACCTTTATGGTAGCCTGTGCATAACAACAACAAAATTACATTTGTAGAACGCCTCTCATATCGGGAGGACGTCCCAAAGCGCTGGAGTATTTAACAGAAGTGATGCTAATCTCATAACTCATGATTTTTGAAGGCAACTGATCGATGTAATGAAAACAGTACTGTCCTTCATATGATGTGTATTTTATTTAATTTTAAAAATGGATATTTTGTAGCACAATCATTTTGCTTAGAAACTGGTGGTGGAGTATTACATATTGGACATTTTTGATGATGACAGCAATAGGGGTGGGTAGGTGGCAAACAGCTTTTTCTGTTTTGCTGAGGAGTATTTAACTCATAATTTTTTTTGCTTTGCCTGGATGCTTTTTGGGGAAGAAAGAAAGATAAGCATTAGGCAATGTAAAATGGCAATTTTGTGCTGGTGCTATTTAAACGATTGCTGTGTTCCTCTTTCTTTATTTGTGTAATCTTACTTGACAATTGATTATGAACTAAAATGTACTTGAGTTTTTTGAGGAGTACAGCATTCTTCGTGGCTGTAGTTAGCCTAATTTATTTATGCAATATCTTCCCAAAGGTTGATGTAGAGAATCTGATTTTTGTACTGTTTAAGAATTTGGTTTATTTGAATTCAATACTTAATGTCTAACTTTAATTTGAAAAAATTGGCAAAGAAGTGGTTGTTTTATACAATTATTTGTGGAGACCTAACTTGATTTCATGTTACTTGAGTTGCTTGGAGCCATGTAACTTGCTTACCTGTACTAGAGCTGCAATGCCGCTTTTAATCCCCATTAGATTTTTTTTTGCAGAGGATAGTCTAGTTGGTGCTTTATTTATTACTGCATATTAACCGATTGATTAAATGTTTGTAGTGTATCCCGACTAATTTAGAGAAGACTGAGCAAAATTGATTTTTGCATCTCATTCAGTGGAGAACATAAGCAGAAAGCACAATAAAACCCAAATACGTGATTCCGTTGTGCAGAATGGGAGCAAAAATCTATGTAATAACATTGATTTTTAGGGGCAGAGCAATAAAGCATGTCTGCCAAAATCTTTAAGCAATCATTCTAAAGATTACATAGAAGATTGTGCTTCCTTATTAATGAGAATCTGAGATCAGATCTCAAAATTGTATTGATAAATATCCCAATTTAAATTAGAAATTCACATTTACAGTAAAATCCTCTTGAATATTTATTCATAATCTACAATGGTTGCTGAAAAGGGCATGTGATCCATTTTAGAGTTCCAATGCCAGTAGATATTTTGACTCGTATCTCAAAACCTGTATAGTTGTATAGTTGGCAGCATATATTGTCATGGTGTTCTGAAACAAGAAATGAAAACTAGTGTCAGGCATGGTGGAATGAAAACAAAATCCCAAATATTTTACAAGTGCTTAATAGGAAAATGGAGGAAGCAAAAATAAATCAAGGCATTGGAACAAATACTATAAGCACAATTTTATAGTTATAATGAAGCCTGATCAACATTCAGTACTATATTTTTCTATCCATGTTTTTGTTCCATTTTAATCTAATCTTACTTTCAGCAGTTTGTGCTCACTAACTTCTTCAGTGGTCTAGACCCTTGTGTTTGCCTTCGTCTGTCTCTGATATCTTAAATGCACAGGTGCATGCCTGAGGCTTTAGCGTAGATTTTGCAGAATCCTCCCTAAAATAATCAGCATAACATGGATTGCAAGTAAAGTAGCTTTTCCTCACAGTCTGTTACTTAAATGCTGCAACAAACAGTCTCTAACTGGTCACTCGTGGTTTGCGGGAGGTGAATGGATGAAGGGGAAGGATATTATTCTGATCATTACACTGCGTCTTTCTACAAAAGATGCCTGCAGCCAAATTATGTCAAGGGTTTTAAAGGGTGGATTTGTTTGGTAAGCTTATTTGGGAAGATTTGTTTTGTATGTACATTACAAAATTGTTGCAGGCTCATATTAACCTATACTGTTTTTTGAATGTCTTTATACACAGAATTAACACAGGAATGAATCCTTCAGGTAATCTAGTTGGTTCAAATATATCAGTACAGTTTCATATTTTTTAAAAGGGTAGATAAACCCATTAGAGCAAAGCAGCAAGCTTTAATTAACTGTCTAGTTTACCTTGCTACCATTGTTTCTTTAGAATGGTGTTCCTGACTCTGATTCCCAATGCAGATCTTTAATGTGTGCCCATCTTAAAATCAAAATAATTCTGTGCATCAGTACCCATTTTGTTTATTTGAAATCTTTCTCTCCTCTCTCAGAGGGAGGGGTGGGGGGGGTGTCTCAATGATTGATTAAATGGCATTTGGCCTAATTGTTTTGAATAGCCAGTTAGCTGGGACTCACTTCTTGTAAATGAATCGGCCATCTGGAAAGGACATTGCTTCTATGTGTTCTTAAATTTGCCAGTTCTTAAATTTTCCAGTTTGGCAACTGGAATAACAGTTCTAAAATGAAGTGCATGAATTATGGTCAGAAAAAAATTAACTTGTTTTTAAAAAATTGTTATAATTTGTTAAAGAAATCTGGTGGAAATGCCCTAGAATTGTTGGAACATTAAAATGTATCTAAAGTCTTTGAAGAGATGGAAAGCTACTCTTAGAAGCATAACTTTATGGCAAATTACTGTAATTTCAACCAG